TTTAGAGATGGGCATTGTGAACAGTTAAAAATGTGACATATTCTGTTGTTTAAGAATGTCTTAAGAATGTCTTTTCTTCATTTTAATTGTTGTATGTTCACATTGGACGATATATTGGAAGAACATTTTGAGAGTTACGGTAAATTAAGAAAATAAGTCGTTCCCGCGATTAAGAGACATTTACCATAAAAATGTGTTTTTGCCAATTTTGCTGCAAAACGTTAACCTTAATTAAGTTTTAAAAAAAAAAAATTGTTACTTCTAATAAATTACTGAGAAAATATGGAAATCTCACAAGAAAGATAAATAATGTTTTGGAATTGACAGAGAAGACTTCCATAAACTTGTATATATAATTATGCAGTTTTGACTTTTTTTTCATGTAATTGTATGTAATTACCCCACCCACTTTTTATGCTGCACTTTGTTAAATCTGACATCTGTACTTTTAAAAAATATTTATATCTTTGTATGCTATTGTATTTTGATGATTAAAGATAAACTCAACAATTTAATGAGCATTTATGCAATTTTAAGGTAAGATTGAGATGGGCTTTTCATTAAAAAATGAAATTTTCGGCCATTTTTAAGGCAAAAAGTTCACCTTAATGTGTGAAAAAATAAGTTTGCACCCTTTAAATTACTAAAAAATAGATTAGGAAATCTCAAGAATGATTAAAACCATGCATAGAAATTGCTGTAGAAAGACCTATATACTTTTTGATGTATTTTTAAGTACATGGCGTATTTTTCACAAAATGGATGGCACTTACCCCACCCACTTAAATAGTCCCTTAAACTAAAATTTAACTTTTTATCTAGACTTAAATATTTTTTTTTCAAATTCTTTATCATGTATCTGTAAAAAAATGTGAAAAAATATTGTATAAGAGGTTAAATAATTTTCTGAAGCCGAATTGGAAACCAGCCAAATGCAAAAAAACACGTTTTTTTACCCTTTTTAAGCATATTTTAAGGCAATTTTCAAAAAGTTATGCTTTTTAAAGTAAAAAAATTGCTTATATATCAGGAATTCTATGTAATTCCGATCATCTTGATGAATAAATGAATTTAAAATGTGAAAATGAAGTGTTGTATTTGTATTTTAAGTAAAAATGGTATTTTCTTAAATTTTTGGCGGCCATCTTGGCGGCCATCTTGAATTTGGACAACGTGGGAACCCTTGATTTTCTGGGAACATAGATTTTTTTCAAATTTAGACATTCAAAAACAAAATGAGCCTGGTTTAAAAAAAAACCTTCCTGACATGCATCGTAGGCCTTCGTTCCTACTAAGCTATAAGTTCAATACTGAATTTATTGCACGAGTTGAATAAAATTATATTATGCGAGCCTCTAGCGAGCAAATATGTATAAATCAGTTAACATCGTTAAATACCATCCAAGCTAGAGAACATGTACACCCAATCATTTTTATTGTTCTTTCTTACCTAAAATCATTTTTAAAGCCAAGTACTATATATGTGTGAGTTTTGTTACTTCTATCTAACTGATAGTCATTCTTGTAAAATAAGTTATTGTAATTTATTGCATCAGGGAAGACCCGTTGCTAATGTTGAGAGAACTTGTGGGTCAACCCTTTTGCCAAATATGTCATGTCATTGTATTGTAACTGTCTACATGTATGTATATGTCTTATTTTTGGCAATAAAATATGTTTAAATCAAATAAGAGTCATTTTTCATTGACGCGCCTATAGTATAACGCTAACATTTAGCGCGTCTTTGCACTATGTTTGTATAACGCTAATGACGTCACGTCAAAATATATGCACGGCCATGCAATACCATAAAATCGGCAGGGGTGTGTGATAATCTGTAATAGAAGATACAGCTTCCTATACATAGCCTGTGACTTTTTTAGTCAAATTGTACATTTTCAACTTAAGATTTTTTTCAAGTAATCTCTGCAATTCAAGATAAGCATAATACATCTGTAAAAACCATGCAAAATGTATTATTCATTTTCGTTAAATTATCTTGTGTAGTATTATTACACTTCACAAAATATGTTCTGTTTTGCCTTATTATAAATATCGATAAAGACGGGTTCACATGCATTTACCCTATATATGTGACGAGGGAATGATTATGAGAAAACCATTATGACCTAGAAATTGGACACATGAATTTTGAGACCGTCGCTTTCTATTTTCATTTGATAATAGATATAATGTTAATATAAAGTGATTAGATATGTATATGACACTGCAGTCAAACTTTCATTTCTCTCTCGAATGTGTCTTATCAGGTACGTATAATAATATACGTACCTAGTCTTATTCATGCACGTGCAAAATCCACAATTGTTTTTTTAAAACATTACCGACGAGGTTCTTGTTGATGCCATTTAAGTCAGGGTTTTAAATCTTTGATGAGAACTAACTGATTCTTTCATGTGAGGAAGCTATCCAGCTAACTTACGGAACGTCACTGGTTCTACTCAGGTGTCCGTTCGTGCCTGCAGCAATGCACGGAAGGGCACCTGAGGTCTTCCTCCACAAGTAAAGCTGGAACGTACACTGTGTCGGTGTGATGTAAAAGCCAAACAAAGAACTGAGTGTCATAGTTATAGTCTTTATTTATTTAACCTAAATTTAAAGAGAAAGAAAGAAGTGAAAAAAAAATAAAACGCCTACGTGATGGGTATTCTTCCTTCCTTCATGATATTTTATTTTAGAAGCAAGCTAGTAACACGTTTAGTCAATATGTGTTTTCTAACATAGACAGTTGTCAATATGCAATTCAACTTGCTTTTGACAATATATACTATTTTAGCCGTGTCATGACAAAACCAACATAATGGGTTTGCGACGAGCATGGATCCAGACCAGCCTGCGCATCCGCGCAGTCTGATCAGGATCCATGCTGTTCGCTTACAAACCCTATTACAAGTAGAGATACTGATAGCAAACAGTATAGATCCTGATCAGACTGCGCGGATGCGCAGGCTGGTCTGGATCCATGCTGGTCGCAAACGCACTATGTTGGTTTTGTCATGACACGGCTAATTTATACTCGAATTCCCAATATGAAGAGAAAGATAACCTATGTCATTTATTTTATATTTTGATTCAATTATGGCGCATGTTGTCCTACCTGGATTAATGGCCATGTTATTGAGAGTGCACCATTCCTGTGTCTGTATTAAGTCTAACTTTGGTCAGCTTTGTGTAATGTTGAATCATCTGCTTACATATCAGTTTCTGATATCGTAGCGACTGAAATATCATTTACATATAAAAGAAACAGTATATGACCTAAATGAAAGTATGTTCCTCATTCTTTCAACGATATAAATGTATGATAATGATCTATATGTTAAAAAAATTTATATAACAATATACATTCGCCATTTCTGTCGGTAAAATTAAGTAACTCCTTTGCGTATTTAAAATGAAATTTCAATTTTGCAAATATCTAACTGTTGGTAAAACCATAATTGATAAAACAAAATGCTTTGTACAGGAAGTTAATCCCTGAAACTAAATAATGAAAATTAATAGTGTGTTCCATACGTAACTCACTTTATTTTTAAATTAATTGTTAAAATACTTTTGATTTTTTGTAGTTATAAGCTAGGAAGACAAATATACGGTTTTATGACCTCTTATAGGTAGCACTGAATTTCATTTCAAGTCAGGCATTCAATTTTGATGATCCAGTTTTAAATTTGCTGAAACTTTTTTAATATAAGATAGATAAATACAGAATCCCTAAAGAAAGCCCAACACGGCAAAATTGAAAATGTTGCAGGCTCGGTTTGATTGAGCCTGTTCATGGACGGTACTGGAAAGTGCAAGTTACCGTCCACGCCCCCTAGCACCGGCTTAAGCAGAATTCAACATTTAAACATGAAATGGTAAAATTTTGAATTTAGAAACATCCGCAGATGTGTTCATACGGCGGTTATCATGGAGCCTTCAATGTGACACAGTAGTGCCATTCCATGAAAAGCGGCGTATGGTCCCCAAGTAATAAAAAGCGTGTGCCCTAAACGAGAAAACAATGGGCGGAACTAAATAAAATGGAATTTTGAAAGGGGATCAGAGGTTATGAAGCCTGCGTATCACAGATAAGACGTCAAAAGACAAATTTAAAAAGCAGGCAACATATCCTAAGGGTGATTCAACATTATTCAAGTAGGAATATTGGAACCACCCAACTTTAAAATGCCGAAAAGTTGAAACTAAAAATACCACAAGCACAACAATAATGTCGTGCTGAACGATCTTCAAGGATCGAAAATATAACATCATTGATTAAATGTACGGGGAGACTTTTTACAGCCGCCACACGGCACAAATAACACGGATGTGATCATAAAATAGATAAATACAGAATCCCTAAAGAAAGCCCAGCTTTGATTAGATTTGATCGATGCTTAATAAAAAAAACGGATACATTGTAAGTTATATCACGGTTTTAATTATACATGTACTGGGACTTAAAATGACCCATATGTTATTAAAGCCACGCTTATATGTTTACAATTTCAGAGCGTGCGATGTTTAAAAAAATCCGCTGTGTATTTCAGAACCTTATTTACCGACCTAATATTTGCATGAAATAGAATAAAATAGAAGTTATTTCCAATTAATGGGTCACATTCATAACATATAAATCAACATCTACACAATAAGCAAATAAATATATCACATAAAATAAGTGTATTAAAGTAAATAAAGCCTGATTCTGATTATTTTAAAAACAATTAACTAAAGGTATCAGACCCAATAATCCTGATCTCCATTTATTCTTTAATTATATTTTATATACTAAATTGTCTTTAATCATAACTTAAATTTTAATGTTCGCGCTTAGTCCCTGCTTCTTGTTTCTGATACCACGGCTTTAATACATGTACATTTACATTGTAAATAAAGCCGAACTGATGGAGTTACCCGGGATTGTGTGTTAAATTCGAAAATATGAGGGAATAGATTGCGCACGGTTTTTACGGGTATTATCCTAGCTATGAACCTTGACCCGGAAATGGCCTCGTTTTGGTAACAAAATAACCAGCTGCGAAGTGTCAATTATCACTTACTAATCGCTTTAGTTATAAAGTTTTTGAGCAAAATAATACAAATCTGAAACACAGATCGTGTAAACAATGGAAGAATCTGACAGTGGACAGCAACCAAAAAGATGTCCATGTGGTTTTTGGGGGTAAGCTTTGAGCGATATCTAGTAAATGATGCCCAAATTTAGTGACATGATCAATTCCTAACAAGTTGCAAGGTGCGTCGAGACACGATACACTTTGTTGTTAACGTAAAATTATGGTAGATTATATTTTAGTTGATACATGCATATATTACTAGTTTTACTTGCAAAAATCGATTTGGTCAATGTTGCGTTTAGCTACTATTTATCAGTCATAATTTTTCCATTAAAACTTTTGATGTGATTTTTATCAGAAAATTAATGGATCTTTTGATGGGCAATTTATTTATGCATTGCAGTTGATAAACTTCATTTTCACATATAAATAGAGCCACACCTCATATCGTTAAGATATTCTCTCTCACTTTCTCTCCTATAAATAAGCTTAATTGCAGCCCCATATCTCTGAAAATTGATTAAAAACACTAGATCTATGCAAAATGTCTATATTAGTATATTTTTTTATTTTTATTATTTATTTTATTTTAGCAACAACATAGATCACAGTTACATAATAAGAATTATATATATAAATAAATATATATAAAATAACAGTTTATCCAAATTAAAATATCATTTCGTATTAATAATAAATAAAACAAATTTAGTTAATGACTGAGATCAGATGAGGCATTGGATAAATGTATTTGAAAGAAGAAGCAAATGAATATTTGAAGTATATAGTTTATTACAAAATATCGACATGACCGGGCTTATTATTAATCCAACTTACCAAGCTATCATTTGAGTGAGTGTTTTTTTCTGATCAACCACAAAAGATATTTACCTTTAGAACTCTTCACACATGTATAATCTGCCATTATCTGGGACGTAATATAACAGGACAATCAACTACTGAGTAGATATGGCAAATAATGGCATCATATGTTGCTGTCCAATTGACAGCTGATTGCTTGGTGAAGGTAGTGTTCTTATTTTGTATATTTTTACCATTATTATAATAAATAACGTCAATGAATATTTATAAAATCATGTACTAAAGATCATGAATTTTAGAACTATTTAAAGACTGTTTGCCTATATTTCTTTGATTTACATTTTTTACTATGATTATTACAAACTTGCAAAAACCCTTTCAGTACAATTAACAAGACAAGGTGGTGGTGCATGCTACTGATCAGATGAAAAGATAATATGGAACTAATTTTTAGTTGTCTATCCTGTTACATTATGTCCCTTTTATAATTTAGGTTACTGTCAATGACTCTAAGATGGATCTTTACTGAAATTACCTTTTTATGAACTTTTAGGCTTTGCATCTATGATCTAACCCTACCATCACTGATCAAAGCTATTCACTTGAAACTTCACTTACATAGCTAGAATCATGGATTTCTTACTGAATTATTAAACAGTTTGTGATATTTACAAATTCCTGATGTTTTAAAGTTTGTGTATATAAAATTTGTTTATAAATTTTACAAACACTGTTTTTAAACTTGAGTCGTGTCTGCTCGGACTGACGTTGAATAGGGCTATAACTTTTCATTTCACAATTTAGAATATCAATACAATATTAAACACAGTTCTTGTTTGTGTGTATGTTTGTGTTCTTGTTTTGTAGAATATCCCTCTATTATATCTGAAGAGAGAAGTCACTTCTCTCACATTTTCATGTCAATATTAACCCTGACTTTGTTTTTCAGAGGTCAGTGAAAAATAATAACTTTCACTGATAAATGTAAGTCATTGACCAAAATCTATCTATAACCTGGCATAACTTTTACTGATAATAAAGTTAATTATTCCTTCAATGCTTTTATTCACATAGAGTGAGAATAGCCAAGTACCCAGTCTTTCTGACACATTTTGTTTATTATTATGCAGTGATTTATGAAGGTTGATAAACAAATGAATTGTGTATGTTTTCAGATCAACACAGACTTCTGGGCTATGTTCAAAGTGTTACAAAGGTATTGTTTATATTAAGTCAACTTTTAATGTCCTCTCATTCTGCTTAGTTTATAGGGAGAGCATCAGATTAAGTAATCCAGGGGTCATTCGTTTCATCTTCTAGTTGGATGAAATTTCTCTGTGACATCTCTAACAATGAGTTTAATGGTCATTTGTTTCTAAACGCTGAGTCAGAAATCGTTTGGATTTAGTAGTCATTCACTTGCAAAGACATAGGTTATTACTGGTAACTTATCCAGGAAAGGCAGTTAGTTGGCTTGACGAAAAATGTGTTAAAGTTGGTATTAAAAAAAAGAAAAACAAATAAATGACCGCTCCATGGTTTCCACGCATTAGGTCAATTCATAGAAAACTTTGTTTTCACTCAAGATGTTACTTTTCCATCTAATTCTTATGACTCTTGGTAAGAAAGTTAGATGTTGGTGTTAATGAGTCTTGTTGAGTTAGGTGAGCTTCACATAGTAAAGTAGTTACTAAATCTTTTTGTTATTTTTAAGTATCTTAACTGTCATATGTTTAAATATATTTCATTGATAATATGCATGTGAACTGCATAATTTTTGTATTAACTTTGTAAGTTTTTTTCCTTAAGTAATTTCATTCAATTGCAGCAACAGTGCAGGAAAAGACCCCAGATGGAATTGATGCAAAAAGTGAACTGCTTAAAAGTAAGGGATCTTATGTTTTCAATACATGTGATTTAAGATTGATATTGGCTCTGATTAGGGCATTAGTACCTGCATGAATTATTGGGTACTTGTCTTGAGAACATAAATGTTGAATACAAACACTGGTTACCTTTGTGATTGTTGAATTAAAATAATGTTAGCTTGGTATACTAATAGGACTTTATTCAGGAAGGACAATGTATTATACTTTTTTATAGATAAATATATTTATGAGAATGTATCTTGTTTTATGTTAAAGTAGGCAAATTTATATCATTTTGCTTCATTTCTGGTTAAAACAGTTCATGTTCTTTTAAGCAGACATATGGATTTGCATTTATTCATTTATTTCCATTTGATTTATTAGATATCACTGAGAGTGAAAAATATATCTTTGATATCAAACATGCTGTTTACTGCTGAGTGGTTACTGTATGACATTTACACTGTTGGTAAAGGGCAACCTAGAAAACAATTGAGTTACTCATTTAAAGGGCAACCGAGAAACTAAAAGATAAAAATAAATTTTGAGATGAGAATCTGACATAATAGAAGTTAGTGTTACTTTTTGATATAATATATAAAAGCTGTAAACTAGACTAGCAGACTTAATAAGAAATTTGTGGATTCCCTTAATTACACTTTGTTTCAATCAAATTCTTTAAACAAATATTTAACTGTGAAATTATACAAAGTTTGAAACTAGTCAAACTACATAGAACATACCTCAAAGGGAAAGTTTTAACTGACAGACAAGTTTTAACTGATAGACATTTTCCCCCCATTATAGAGCCCCCAGTTGAACAGGTGTTTAAAGAATTTAGGAGAGTTTACCCTATGCTTCAAGTGAAAATGATAAGTCTTTTTCTAATAATATAGGCCCGGGCCTGCTTAAAATTTTCATCTTGATTCCCCAAAATATCGATAGTGGGTTGAAGGAAGGTGGACATGTCAATTTTAGAAATTCTGCAGGTTAAAGTTTAATATTTTTAGACTTTCTATAATAATTTATGTTTCAGACCGCCAGAGTTCCTATACAAGCCATGATGGTGTAGGTGCTACCTCTTCCTCATTTTTGTCTTCAAGTCGCAGCCAGCCATCTAACTCAACAATGGAAAAAGCTGAGGAGTTTCTGAGACAAGCTGTTAAAAACTCTAGTGTAGATAACACTGATAAATCTGTCAACAACACTGATAAACTTTTAACAACAGAAAGAAGTATATCTGCAACAGTTACATGCACTTCACAGACTGATAACATGGCAAACTCTGCTGGTAGTGATAGTTGTAAAGACATTGTAAAAGACTTGAGCATTGTTACTGCTCCATCTACCTCTGATCTCAGTGTTACGTCAAATGAAAACACTGAGAATCTTGATAAAGATTCTAAACCCTGTGAAACAGAATCTAGTAAAGTACCTGATTTGGCCAGTCCAGATAAACGTGGAGTTAAAAGGTAATGACTAAATGAGTACTAAAAATATTTTCTATACTTTATTTTTGCAATCCTTGTAGTTTATATCTTTATACAAGGTGTAATTTTATCTTCAGTTATGATTTTTAGTTTGACTTTTTCAAAAGAAAATTCCAATTTTGAGGTATTGCTACAATTATGTAGTCTGATGTAGCTAAAAACTTTAAAATGGGCCATTATTTTTTTCATTTCTTAGTTGATTGTCTCTATACTTAGACACAAAAAACGCTTTGGACAAGACTTTCAAGAAGACCAGGGTAAACTTGACGATGACTCATAAATGGCCTTGAAATGTTTTAATATTGCTTGATTTTGCTATAATTGGCTATAACTTTGTTTTTGAATGGATTGTGACACACCAATCTTTTGGACAAGACTTTCAACTCATCAATGAACTTAACCTTGAAAGTCAAATAAATGAATTCTGCCACTCTGTATCTTTTGAACCAAATGTAGCATTGCCCTTATTGAACTTTATAAAATTGATATGAATCAATTATCATGCCAGTTCAATATTGACCCCGCCCCAGGGAGGGCGTTCTTTTGGTTTATATAGACTTGTAAAGGAAAAACACATCTGAGACTTATTGTGTGAAATTATGATGCCCAGAGCTAAGATGTTTGGCATGTAACCTCACATTGTAGACCACAAAATAACTGGTATTGATCATGCCCCTTGGATCAACATTGACCCACCCCTGGTGTCACTTAGTTGATATAGTCTTGTATGAGAAAAACATATTTCAGTCTTATTTTGTGTAACTACAATGCCAAGAGCTAAAATATTAAGCATGTAGCATAACCTTGTGAACCTATGCAAAACTGATATTAATCATGCCCCTGAGACCAATATTAGCCCACCCCAGGGTCACATGATTTATGTAAACTTTTATAGGAAAACACATTTAAGTTTTATTCACACAATTTGTGGAGCTACAAAGCCCAGAGCTTAGGTATTTGGTATGTATGGTGTGATTTCTACAAAAGTTGTTTTAATCAAGACCCTCAGGTCAAAATTGGCCCTTTCCCTGGAGTCACTTGCTTTATTTAGACTAAGGTATAGGAAAACAAATCTTATCTTTTTGTGAATAAATACTATGTTTCAATATTTGGCATATAGCATTGCCTAGTAGACCTCTATAAAAGTTTAATGAATCATGTATTTAGGTAAAAAATGCCTCCACCTTGGAGGTCATATAGTATCTTAAAGTTAAGGATAATTAAGATTATACATTTTTCAGATAAGTTCCTCGATTAGATCTCTACCCTAATTGAAATATTATTTTAAATTACTCAAACAAATTAACTTTTGGATGTATATTGCCCTGCCTATATTTTGTGTTGCCAAATGTGCTGGTTGAGGGATGATCCAAACTTTTATCAATATTTCTTGCAAAATCATACGAAGTGTTTCTTGTATATAAACAAATGTAATCTGTGTATTATTATGTATACACAGATGTAACACATGTTTAATTGTTTTGGACACATGTGACACAAGTTTAATTGTGTGTAGACAGATATAATTCATGGTTAATTAGATATGAATAGATATTTTTAAACTACTACTTTTATTTGACAAATGTTAAACAAGTTAAAATTTATAGGAAAGGGTCATAGTGCTGTAGAGGAAACAAAATCTCTCTCTCTCTCTCTATATATATATATATATATATATATATAGGTTTGTGAAAAATATTTGCATCTACAAAATACCTTTCAAAAACACTGGATCCAAAGAAGGATACAAGAACATGGAAAAAAAATAAATTTGGAGAAAATAAACGTTCATAAAGTGCTTAAGTATAAATACCCAAGTACTTTCGGCGTATTATGCCTTCATCAGGGGTGTATTACATGTATAATGTGCACACAATCAAGCACAAAATCTCAATACGTGTGTACTGTATAGTATCAAAAATTGAACTGAAACACAGTCGCTAGAAAGGTGATAAAATTACATCGATTATGAATAGACCGTTATTGAATGGTCATTGTGTAGTACTTTACAAAAGAGAATATAGCCTGCGGTCAATATGGCATAAACTCGGTTAAATATATATTATACATGTAATACATCCCTGATGAAGGCATAATACGCCGAAAGTACTTGGGTATTTATACTTTAGCACTGTATGAACGTTTATTTTCTCCCAATATATATATATATATATATATATATATATATATACAGATGTAATACAAGTTTTATTGTATATGACAGAGACAGCAGTGCTCTAGAGGATACAACACCTACTTCAACACCAGAAAAATCTGGCAACAAAAGCAAAAGGAGATGTAATGTATGCAAATGTAAATTAGAATTGGCACAAAGGACTATAGGAAAATGCAAATGTGGTATGTACTTCCTTGATGAAATATTGTTTGTATTACTGTTAGGTGAAATTTTGTGTGTGATTTGATCATAGTTTGTTTTCAACTTACACTATTGTTTTTATGCCACCGCAGCATCTGCGATGGGGTGGCATATAGCGATTCACCTGTGTGTATGTTTGTGTGTGTGTTTGTTTGTTTGTGTGTGTGTGTGTTATATAGATTATATAGTGAACTTAAAAAATCTTCTTGTGAAAAACCACTAGTCCAATTTCAACCAAACTTGGCAGGATTGATCCTTGGGTGAAGGGCTTCCAAAGTTGTTCAAAGAATTTCATTCCATGCAGAAATCTGGTTGCCATGGCAACCAAAAGGAATTATAAGAATAAATTTAAAAAATCTTCTTGTAAAGATCCAAAAGGCCTAGAGCTTAGATATTTTGCATAAGGCATTGTCTGGTAGACCTCTACCAAGATTGTTCAAATTATAGCCCTGGGGTCAAAATCGGCCCCGTCCCGGGGGTCATTGATTTTCACTATATATACATATAGTAAAAACATAAAATACCTTCCTGTAAAGACCGTAAAGGCTTAGAGCTTAGATATTTTGCATAAGGCATTGTCTGGTAGAAATCTACCAAGATTATTCAAATTATAGCCCCGGGGTCAAAATTGGCCCTGTCCCGGGGGTCATTGATTTTCACAATATATACATATAGTAAAAACTTAAAATCCTTCTTGTAAAGACCAAAAAGGCCTAGAGCTTAGATATTTTGCAAAAGGCATTGTTTGATTGACCTCTACCCAAATTGTTCAAATTATAGCCCTGGGGTCAAAATCGGCCTGCCCCGGGGTCATTAGTTTTCCTTATATGTATATAGTAAGAAAAATTCTTCTAGCAATTGACAAATGCTAGAGGTTAGATATTTTGCATAAAACATTATGAAGTGAACTTCTAGCAAGATTTTTCAAATTATAGCCCTGGGGTGAAAATTGCCCCCCGCCCCGGGGGTCATTAATTTTCAATATATACATATAGTAAAAAATAAAAAATCTTATTGTCTGAAGGTACAAGGCCTAGAGCTTTAATATTTGTTAAATGATATCATCTATATGTACTCTACCAAAGTTGTTCAAATTTTGCCTCTAGTGTCAAAATTAGCCCCGCCCCGGGGGCCATAGGTTTTCCTTATATGTTTTTAGTAAAAACTTAAAAAAATCATCTTCTCTAAATTAACAAAGGCTAGAGTTAAGATATTTTTCATGAAACATTATGTAGTGAACCTCTAGCAAGATTATAGCCCTGGGGTCAAAATTGGCCTGGCCCCACCCCCAGGGGTCATTGATTTTCACTATGTACATATAGTAAAAAATTAAGAAATCTTCTTGTCTGAAGGTACAAGGCTTAGAGCTTTGATATTTGGTATATAATATCATCTATAGGTCCTCTACTAAAGTTGTTTTAATTATGCCGCTAGTGTTAAAATTGCCTTGCCCCAGAGGCCATAGTTTTCCTTATATGTATAAAGTAAAAACTTGAAAAATCTTCTTCTCTGAATTGAAAAATCTTCTTCTCTGAATTGACAAAGGCTAGAGGTTAAATATATGGCATGAGACTTTGTGAAGTGAAACTTTACCAAGATTGTTCAAATTATAGCCCTTGGGTCAAAATTGGTCCCGCCCAGGGGGTCATTGATTTTCATTATGTACATATAGTAAAAAAATAAAAAATATTTTTGTCTGAAGGTACAAGGCAAAGAGCTTTGATGTTTGCTATATAATATCATCTATAGGTGCTCTACCAAAGTTGTTTAAATTTTTCCCCTTGTGTCAAAATTGGCCCTGCCCGGGGGCAGTGATTCTCATTATGCACACATAGTAAAAACAGAAAATAAAAAAAATGTTTTCTGAATGGGAGAAAGCTACAACTTAGATATTTGACTTGAAATATTGTTTGGTGGACTGTATCAAGATTGTTTTGAATTAAATCCTTGGGTCCAAAATTTTGCCTTGCCCAAGGGGACAGTGACCTACTTTCTTGTCCTTTGATGTACAGCAATGAAATTTTGACCATGTGCACAGTTTTAGTTGTAAAATTGAACTTTGATATAAGGTGACCTAGATTTTGATGATGTGACCTACTTTCTTGTCCTTTGATGTACAGCTATGAAATTTGAACCATGTGCACAGATTAAGATGTAAAGTGAACTTTGATTTCAGCTGACCTAGATTTTTACAAAGTGTCTAACTATGTTGTCCTTTGATGTAGTCATGAAATTTAGGCTGTGTGAAATATGACCTTCACCACCAAATTCACTAGACTTGAGTGCATTGATATATTCCTACTCTGATCTTTTATTTAGTTAACAACAGATTTAACCACTAATCTGATATTAAGAATTAGATAGGTCCGGGATCTATGCCTTATGACAATCGTCAAAATTGTATAGAAACAAAAAAAATCTGTTCCTACACTACTATTTAGTGTTGTATTAATGCGGTGGCATAGCATTTTTCTCAAATGCAATCTTGTTTTTACTTCTTAATTAAAGTGGGATATAGAGAGTTCCCAATTTTGCAATATTTACCTCCCTTGACAATAGTGGCAGTCACTTTTGGTGTAATATAATTGACAAAATATGAAAAAAATCAATATAAACAACTGATATAGGTCAGGTGAATTGTCAATTTTTAGCTCACCTGTCACTTAGTGACAGGGTGAGCTTTTGTGATCGCTTTTCGTCCGGTGTCCGTCCGTCCGTCCGGCGTCCGTAAACTTTCTCCTCATAAACCACTGAGCCAATTTCATCCAAACTTCACAGGAATGTTCCTTTGGTGGTCACCTTTAAAAATTGTTCAAAGAATTTAATTCCATGCAGAACTCTGGTTGCCATGGCAACCAAAAGAAAAAACTTTAAATATCATCTTCTAAAAAACCAAAAGAGCTAGAGCTTAGATATTTGGCATGAAACATCCTCTAATGGGTGTCTACCAAGTTTGTTCAAATAAAAGCCCTGGGGTCAAAATTGGCCTCGCCCCAGGGGGTCATTGATTTTCCCTATATGTATATAGTAAAAACTTTAAAAATCTTCTTTTAAAGAACCCAAAGAGCTAGAGCTAAGATATTTAGCATGAAACATGTTCTAATGGGTGTCTACCAAGTTTGTTCAAATAAAAGTCCTTGGGTTAAAATTGGCCCCGCCCCAGGGGGTCATTGATTTTTCCTATATGCATATAGCAAAAACTTAAAAATCTTCTTTTAAAGAACCCAAAGAGCTAGAGCTAAGATATTTAGCATGAAAAATGTTCTAATGGATGTCTACCAAGTTTGTTCAAATAAGAGCCCTGGGGTCAAAATTGGCCCCGCCCCGGGGGACATTGATTTTCCTTATATGTGTATAGCAAAACTTAAAAATCTTCATGGAAATAACCCGAATAGCTAGAGTTTAGATATTAAGCATGAAACATCTTCTAGTAAGTGTCTACAAAGATTGTTCAAATAAAAGCCCTTGGGTCAAAACTGGCCCTGCCCCAGGAGTGTCATTGTTTTTAAATAATAGTATATGTGTAAAGAAAAAACTTAAAAAATTTTTTTTTTTAAAAACCCAACAAGCTAGACCTTAGATGTTTAGCATGAAACATCTTCTAATGGGTGTCTACCAAGTTTATTCAAATAAAAGCCCTGGGGTTTAAACTTGCCCTGCTGCGGGGGGCCTATATACAGGTGAGCGACTTCAGGGCCATCATGGCCCTCTTGTTTATACATATGATATGGGAAATAATATTATATGGCTGTGACTAAAAAAAGGATTGGAGCACCTCACTAAATACCGTATTCCGGTATATACCGGACAAGGGGCTTGAATGATAAAATGCTAAAATCTTGTCTTTTTACCCAACGGAATGAACTTTAACATGTCTAATTCATCTTTTCACACCGAATCAAGTACGATAATCAAGGAAAAATGTAAAATTCGGCAAAAAAAACGATATTTGTCTATTTTGGGATCATGATTTCTGCAAGCGTCTAGAGGTACAGCTCCAATCCTGTATTGAGCTAAATCCATATTATATTACCAATATGTAAATGATTTTTTTATCATTTTCATGAAGATGATAGAATTATGAGAATTTTTTATCTTTTCTTCTGCATATAATGTATTGGGAATTACCCTCAAAATGGCAGCCAGGGGAGATAAAAATTGCCCTGTGAAAAGCATATATAGCATTACAATAATATTTTAAAGAGGAAATTATACAAATTACAGATTACAAATTACATATGCCAATACCCTTTTATTTTCACAGATAATGTCTTTTGCTCGCTTCACCGTCTACCTGAGCTTCACAATTGTGATTTTGATCATAAAGAAGATGGTCGTAGAGAGGCAAGAGAGAAAATGGTGAAGCCAACACGCCATCTTGGCAACACTTTCAAGCGTTTAGACTCTGACTCTTGATGAATCATCAGAATAGTATTTTCATAAGATACATCATTTCTTGCAAGATTGCATTTAGCAGCAACTTTTCTCTTCTTTTATAAAGGAATAATGTTGATTGTTGAAGTAAATCACAGTACATATGTCATTATAAATTGTTTACAGTTTACCTCTATTTGTTTTTGTGTGTTATTTTTTTCAAAGTTAGTTTAATATTGCTGGAACAGAATTTGTTCTCTCTCATAATAGGGATTTAACTATGTTTATGCTTTTGATAAAAAATTAAGACAAACACTGGTACTGTATTTTATAAAAAAAATACTCAACAGATTAACAAAAGCTGATAGGAATTAGACTTTTTGATATAAACACATGTTTGTTTTGATGCGATCAGTTATAGAAGGCATGTTTATTTTAATGGACGTGTCCATCTATCAATCTGGACAAAACCATTAATCAGATTATGTACTGACTGAACAGCAAACAGTGCAGACCATGTGCTGACAGCTAATGTGCTGGCTGATCTAGGTCGGCACTGGTGGCATGAGTAAATTCGATCCCCGCCAGCATTATAAGAGTTAATGTAACCAATTATACATAGAGGAGACTGGTGTAGAAATATAGAGTAGTAAAACCTTTACATGTTATCACTGCTTTACCACACAAACATTTTACATTTATCATAGATATTTGGGACATTTAAGGAAATATAGATAAGGAATATTATGCAATTAATGATAAAAACAAGAACTATTTATATACAAGGTTTTATCTTTGCAATTGTGCTGGATGTTTAAAGATTATATTTCTTTTTTGATACTTTGTAAATGATGGTAAGAACTTCTTACAGGATAAATGTACTGAGTCATTTCTTTATTGTATGATAGTTAGTTTAGTGTGATTTTTGTGGAAAACAAACTGTTTATACATGTATAAGGTGTATTGTTGTTGTGACATGATAGTAGATGTCTGCTTTGTTTAAGGTAAACAGGCTGTTGCTGTGAAATTTTGCAAATTTAACATAGGTTGGTTTGCTTTTTGTTTTCCAATCATATCCTTCCAAATTTCTTTATTGGTAACTATGAGGTTAATAAACATTGTGTTGAATACAGTACTGACTTCTATTTAACAAGTACATAACTTATGTGGAAGAATGAACGAATAGTTAACACATTATCCTAGTGACTTAAAGATTGCTGGCTGCATGGGTTCAAATCCTGTCTGGGACAAGACCTTGTGAAAGTGAGCAAGAAACTTTACGCTCACTGCTTCCAGAAAAAGATAAAAGAGTGTTTCAATAAGCTTATAGCTTCCCAAACAAAGAAATTGAAATGAATTTGGTGTAAATTAATAAAAACTGAATTTTACTCAGTTATGTGTAATGACATCTTTATTTTTACACAACCAATTTTTGACACTTTGACAGAAATTTAGTTATTTTGAGTAAAACAGTGATTCAACAGAAATCTTTTGGGCTTTTGAAAAAGGAAAACGAGGCTAGATGGAGTAGAATAGTGAATTGAATGTTTGGATAGGCAAAATGAAAATGAGGTTAAGTTGATAAGTGATTTATATTGTAAGATCACATGGTACACAAGTTCATTGGTTACAATTTATAATGTGTGAAATACTTTTTTATTATTATGGAACCATTTTTAGCATGCAAACCTATATGCTAATTGAATTTTTATGATTTGTATGCTTTATGTTTTTTTTCTTATAAATATATAAACATTATTATTTGATATTACAGGAAATGATTATAAGAAAGAAAAGTTATATTTTCATGTGTTTACTGTTATAATCAAGTATGATATTGTGAACTTATAGAAGGGTATGGTATGAAAACAGTATAAAGGGAGGGAATTTTAGGACTCCAATCATTATTGTACTAAATCTTATATGATTTATGAACTCTCGAATTCTCTCAACTCCCAGAGTGGCTGTTAATGTAGTGTGAATGGTATCTGTATGAATGATTTAAAAACTGTTTTATACCTCATAGTACTTTCTGTTATACTAAATTTTTTGAATAAATTGATACATTTAAAGCCAATATATTTGATTGTTAAAAAAATGCAGTGCTTTGGTTATAAAATATTGAGTAAAATATCCATTACTTAACTGAAGAATTTATTCAATAATAAAATTATAAACTGTAGTTTGGTTTTTAGCAGGTAATCATTGATGAATAGGACTATACATAGGAATTTAGGGATAAGATAACATAATGAAAATATCATAACTTTGAAAGGATACAGACAAAGCACAATACTAGTAGAGGAAATCCTGGCTGGTGTTCATTATATTATCATTCTTCAAGTTATATGAAGGAGTAATTACTTTCTTCATCTTATTACTATTTTTTTTTACAAAATATGGGCATCTATCTTCATATATGTACTAATTAATTGTTACAAAAATAAGGGCATAGACTACAGTACTTGTATTTCTGGTCATAGTTGGTATTTAAGAATAGCACAAGGTTTATGATCTTATATAAAAAAAACTGTAAAATCCTATATCAAAGTCAAAATATTTCTTGATATAATTTTTGTTTATTCAACATGCATTTTCTCCATTACCCTGCTGTACTGACATTTTTCTGTGTTGGATTTCTTGTAAAAAAAATTGTTTTGAGAAAAGTGGTTATGTGTTGGCTTTAGTTTATTAAATATTTCTGTATAATTTGTCATTAAGTTTTGTATGTATATGAAAGCTGAATATGTAAACTAAACTATATAAAAACTATGCCAGTCTGTACATTTTAGTTCTTATGTCTTCCTGTGTCATACTGTATGAAAATCACTCTTGACGTGTATTGCGCCAAAACGCTTTTTAGCTCACCTGTCACAAAGTGACAGGGTGAGCTTTTGTGATCGCTTTTCGTCCGGCGTCCGGCCGTAAACTTTTACTTTAAATGACATCTCCTCATAAACCACTAAGCCAATTTCATCCAAACTTCACAGGAATGTTCCTTTGGTGGTCACCTTTAAAATTGTTTAAAGAATTTAATTCCATGCAGAACTCTGGTTGCCATGGCAACCGAAAGAAAAAACTTTAAATATCTTCTTTTAAAAAACCATAAGAGCTAGAGCTTAGATATTTGGCATGAAACATCTTCTAGTGAGTGTCTACCAAGTTTGTTCAAATAAAAGCTCTTGGGTCAAAATTGGCCCCGCCCCGGGGGTCATTGATTTTCCCTATATGCATATAGTAAAAACTTAAAAAATCTTCTTTTAAAGAACCCAAAGAGCTAGAGCTAAGATATTTAGCATGAAACATGTTCTAATGGGTGTCTACCAAGTTTGTTCAAATAAAAGCCCTGGGGTCAAAATTGGCCCCGCCCCGGGGGGGTCAGATTTTCCCTATATATGCTAAAGTAAAAACTTAAAAAATCTTCTTTTAAAGAACTCAAAGAGCTATGGCTAAGATATTGAGCATCAAACATGTTCTAATAGGTGTCTACCAAGTTTGTTCAAATAAAAGCCCTGGGGTCAAAATTGGCCCCGCCCCAGGGGGTTATTGATTTTCCCTATATGCATATAGTAAAAACTTAAAAAATCTTCTTTTAAAGAACCAAAAGAGTTAGAGCTAAGATATTTAGCATAAAACATGTTCTAATAGGTGTCTACCAAGTTTGTTCAAATAAAAGCCCTGGGGTCAAAATTGGCACCGCCCCGGGGGGTCATTGATTTTCCCTATTTGCATATAGTAAAAACTTAAAAAATCTTCTTTTAAAGAACTCAAAGAGCTATGGCTAAGATATTTAGCATCAAACATGTTCTAATAGGTGTCTACCAAGTTTGTTCAAATAAAAGCCCTGGGGTCAAAATTGGCACCGCCCCTGGGGTCATTGATTTTCCTTATATGTGTATAGCAAAAACTTAAAAATCTTCTTTGAAAAAACCCAAATATATAGAGTTAAGATATTAAGCATGAAACATCTTTTAGTGAGTGTCTACAAAGTTTGTTCAAATAAAAGACATGGGGTCAAAATTGGCCCCGCCCCGGGGGTCATTGATTTTCTTTATATGTGTATAGCAAAAACTTAAAATCTTCTTTGAAAAAACCCAAATAGCTAGAGTTTAGATATTAAGCATGAAACATCTTCTAGTAAGTGTCTACTAAGTTTGTTCAAATAAAAGCCCTGGGGTCAAAACTGGCCCGGCCCCAGGGGTGTCATTGTTTTTAACTATATGTGTATAGTAAAAACTTAAAAAAAATCTTCTTTTAAAAAGCCCAATGAGCTAGAGCTTAGATGTTTAGCATGAAACATCTTCTTATGGGTGTCTACCAAGTTTGTGCAAATAAAAGCCCTTGGGTTAAATTGGCCCTGCAACGTTGGGGGTTGGGGGGGCCTATATACAGGTGAGCGACCTCAGGGCCATCATGGCCCTCTTGTTTGTTATCTAGGATAATACGGAATATTGATTTTAATTTTCTTCCTTTGTTGTATATTGATACTTTTTCTACATTGTTTAACATAGGTAAACAAATGTCTTTTGAAGAAACTTTTAACATAAAATGAATAATATTATGTGAAAAGGAGAATGTTAACTCCAGTGTTTAGATAACAAATGTTTGAAGAGTTTTGTGATTATACATTTTCAATTATATGTCTTTTGTCTTGTGCTATAAATGCAAATCCAAGTTCAAGAACTTTTACAGTGTCATGATTCTGAACATAGTTTATACTTGAAGTTATTTTATGGGGTACATTTAAAGGAAAACAGGTGTATTTTACATTGAGATTCTATTAGTAACATACAATTTTGGTCTGGGCATTCCCTGATAACTAGTATAACGGTATAAGAAATTGAACATTACATTATTGTATATGTTCTCAGATGACATGTGTTCTATCACTATAACTAAATTGAAGGACATTTGAGTTGTATACATTATTTAATAGTTAAAAAACAGTTTTAGGCAAAAATATACTAAATTTATATCATCTTCTAAAGTTTTGCAGAGTTATCATGAATTATGTTATCTTTTTTCAAGTCTTACTATTTGAAGATATACTGTTCTCATCTTTTGGTAAATACTTAAATTACAGAAGTTTATTGAAAACTCTGAAATCTTTAACAAGAGAGTGCACAAATTATGTTTTAGAAGATGCATTCCCAGTTACTGGCCAAGTATTTTTGGACCTTTCATATATAAAAAAAACTGCCTGTTTCTAACACATCTTCTCTGTGAATATCCAAAAGATGTTTATTTTATATTTAAAAAGAGACTATACAAGTATATAGCAATTTTCAGTATTTTCAAATAGCAAATTTGGGCATAGTATATCTTTAAGAAAAGTTAAATGCACTTTGTTCATCTTGATTAGAATGAGGTTGATACATGTTATATAATGTAACTCCCCTAACAGCTTTATGATGATATTGAAGTGTCTCTATCACATCAGTTCAAGTCTTACCACACCTGGCAGGTTATTTTATTGTAGTTCTTTTGACTATATATGCATATTCTTGTTTAGTTAGTTTGATTTGATGAAAGAACAACCAGGAAGCAAGCCATAAACCAGTGTGAATATTATTTGTAGTTTTAGTCATGGCCTAACCTAGAAGTAATAGCTAAATTAAAGTGATATTGAAACAGATTACATGATTGTATAACAAAGGATTTGATACAATAGTATTATGATCAGATACTTTTCTTTATTTTAGGTATGCTTGCAGAGTAAAATTTTGCCTCATTTTATCAAGTTGTGTGTGGATTTATGTTCAAAGATATGTGTAGTGATAAACACTTTATATTTGTACATTATTTAATAACTAATTTATGTAGATATAGAACCTGGTACATGTTTACACTAAATTTAATCTATGTTATCTTTTCATATTTATGATTTATAATAACAAAGATAAATAAAGCTTTGGACAATATATCTTAATTTTTTTTTTATTTTGTTGGACATCTTCTGACTATGATAGAGTAACATATTCTTGGATATTTTGTGCAGTTCGCCCTAGGTTTTCATGTTTATTAAAAAAATATATGAGATTGGACAGAATAGGAATGTTTAAAGCAACTTGCCTCCAGATGATTAAAAATATTTTAAGAAAATGAAACTTGAGAAATATCTTCTAAGATTTTCAGAAAAATAAAAAAGCCAAGTAATAATTTACATGTTATTTGATATCAATTAGTGATTTGGGTGTATTTATTACCATATTTCTACTGCGTTACTAATGCATTAAGGTTTTTTCCCCGAAATTCTGACATTCTTTTTGGTAATTTACCTGGTTTGTAAACAATGTTTGCAATGTGTAAATTGCTTCCTTTGTTCACTTCACAATATACCATGAAAATGAGCATGAATATGGAGGCATGCTGCTTTAAGGTTATTTGAATAACACTTAATTCATACTGAAGTATCATTTAAAAAGTAGAACACCTGTTACAGTTCTATATTTAATTACTTATTTTGACCTTAAGCACAACTAATTTTGTTAAGTTTACATGCCTAGTTGTTAAAGTATGAAAATGGCTCATGTCATTCTATGAGTTTAACAAACATCTATAGGAGAGACACTGCTGTCCTCTGATTTATGAAATTTTTGCAATTAAATTTAATATCTGGAAAATACTATTGAGGTTATTGTCCCCTACCTTTACGAAGAAAAATGGGGGATATAGAAACGGGCTCTGTCCGTCACACTTTTGTGTCTGGTCCATTACTAAGCCATTCATCAAAGGAATTTGAAAATAACTAGGCACAAAATTTAATGTTTGTTTAAATAAGACAATGTGTCATGGGCAACACCCAGACACCTACCTCCAAGGTCAAGGTCACACTTGGAGGTCAAAGCTGAACATGATCTGTTATAGGGTATATTTTGTGTCCAGTCTGTAACTTTTTAGCTCACTTGAGCTAGCTCAGGGTGAGCTTTTAGATATTTGAATGTCCGTTGTCCGTCCGCAATTGTTCCTAAACACTAGTGGTCATAATTTTGCCTCAATCTTCATCAAACTTTGTCAGGATGCTTGTCTAGGTAATTGCTTAAATAAGTTCTGAACATGGGTCATCTGTGCTGAAAAATTAGGCCACGGGAGCTAAAAATAGAAAAATCTTGTTAATGCTCTAGTGACTACTGTTTTGATCCAAATATCCTGGATATTGGTCTGAAAGTTTGTTTTGATGATTTCTAGGTAAAGTTTGAATGTGGGACACATTGGGTCAAAAACTAGGTCACACCACCTAAAAATGGGACTCCTATCTCAAAGGTCAAGATCACATTTTGTAGTCAAAGCCTAACATTGTCTGTTACAGGGTATGATGCAGTCAGGCCCAAGCAAAGAAAATGTCATTGGAGAATCACCCGCATACATCGGTTGATGAAAGTTATGAAACAGACACAAGATATACCATGTAACAGACCTTACCTTGATTTTGTATTTTGTCACATTTTGTAGTTTTCAAATGGTGATACATGTTACAATGCAAATGTATTTCTGTTGACCCATACACATGAGTTATTTCATTCTATTACTGTAATGAATTTATTGTTGAATGTGCTGATCTAGCATTGATCAAGATTTTGCACTAGAAGTCAGGATCAATACCTCAATCTTTTGAAATAGCACTATTTTGAGCTTCATGTAAAACTTCCCTTAGACTGGGGATGTTGGTAATTCTTAATTGGGCTACAGTTAACCCTTTACTGCATGAGCATATTGTGAAAAATGGCCGTTTTCATTGAAAAGCCTCCTGTTACAAGTTCAAACTGCTATGAAACTATGAAAAATGCTTAAATACTGATGAAACTTGGCACAAATGTTGACTCGACCATAGCCTCTGTAACAGCATGCTCAATCTTAAATTTTCTGTTGCTATGGCAATGGGGTGATGTCTCAAAATTGCCAATAATCACTATTTTGCATTTTTTTTCCCCATCAAAACTGATTACAAACTGCTGCAAGTTAACTTCTCAATGGATTGGGATAGAGTAAAAGGCTTTTTAGTGTTGGTTACATGTTACCTCACAGTCAACCAGAGACCATTTTTAGCCTGTCACATGTCCAAAATTTTCTTGGCGATGAGGGGGGCTGCTGCCCCACTTCAAACCCCCAAAACAGAAGAGGGCACATCCCCCTTCCTGGCAACCCCATGATGTACCTTTTTGATAGGGGGCGTTGCCAAAAAAGTTATCACTTTTTTATCAACATTTCTCAAACGAAAAACAGTGTTTAGGGCCTAAATACGACATTTTTTCACTGTTTGAGACCTCAAAAATGGGGGGGGGGGGGGGTGAAAATCCGTCAAAACAGGTCTATATGAGGTAAAGGGTTAATATGCAACTGTTGCTGGAGTATAAATTGCATCTACTGGATTATCAATAAATTAAATACTATATCAGTAAACAACAAAAATCATTATACAATGCACATTCAGCCTGCATGATGAATTATGTTTCCTTGCATTAACTCTGTGGTCAAGTTGTCAACATTTTTTAAGTTATTTGTATTTCATTGCTTCAGGTTTGAATCCATTTGTACATGTTCATACATATTTTATGTTTTTAAACTGCCCAGCTAGCTGGTGAAATGATCATGAATCACACAGGATGCCTGCTCATCAGTGAAATAATGGAGTGGAGACCTACTAAGTTTTACATCCATCAGACAGGCTAAGTTGCCAGATGATCAGAACATTGTTGGTTTCAACCAAAGATATATAATAATGTTGCACTTGAATAAGAATTTTGACAAACAGATTCTTTTTCTATAAGTACACTATAACATTTGTTTGATATATATATGTCTAAATTTCTATACAAAAAGAAAATAATGAATTTTAAATTGAGGATAATATTAACATGCATTTTTTAAGTCTGCTTTTTTGGGAAAAAGAACTAAACTAATTTTTACTTGAACATTTATTCACAAAGTTGTTATAGTTTATAATCTTTTCATAATTATCGCTGTACATGTACTGTATATCCTCTGTGTAAATTTTTTACAAAATATTCCAAAAACTGAAAACATACTTCTACCAAGACAAAGAAAATTAGTATTTCTGTAAATTAACTGACTACCATAAACAGTATAAAAGTTTTATATTCTGTTGTACACTTTTACAAGGTAGCTTTATTATAAATTCATGTAAATTTCATATTCCATATAATATTCAATGTATAAAAACAACCATTGTGTCAAGAGCATGGACCAACAATATTACAACATAAACATCATGTTTGAGGAGGTATTTGGTAACAAAAATAGAAATTTCCATACCAAGTACACTCTAATCTACATGTAAACAGCAAACATATTTTACAAACTTACATTCTTTAATTACCAATCACTCAGTAAAAAATGTTTTAAAAAATCATTGAGAAAGAAAGCCCACCCCAAGGTGCATTTTGAAATAGTAAAAAGAGAAAACAATATACATGAAGTAATATTCATCATCAGATTTGCATAAAAAATGAATCGATGAAACAAAATAAGCAAGTTACCATTCATTTCAACACTGCATTAAAACACCAAATGACTTGAAATCATATCTTTTAAAGAACAAAATTGTTAATTAAATTCCTATCAAATATGTAAGAATACCAAGAATTGAAGTATAGTATATTTTACTCTGAATACAGAAAAAGCGTGAGCTGGTGTTTCATGTTAGAGATGTGAATGATCTAAAAATATAATTCTATGTCACATGTTACATACTAAAACAAAAACTTAGGAAACTAAATAGCCTTGCTATAAGGGCTAAAGGGCCATTATTTGCTACATGATGTGCGCTGTGTGTCATTTGTTGTAAAACTTGAACAAACTGAATTTGACATAGCATTTTCAGGGCTCAATCCTTTGATTTCTTTGTTCTTACAAGACATCCCTACTTCAGACATTAATACTGATTTTTTGACCAATTGTCTTCATAACTAAACTTTCATTTCATTTTCATGTTTTAAAAGAATGACTGAGATAAAATTATTTACATAAAGATATCTTCATTTTATTCCATGTTTAACTGACATTCCTACAGGTTAATTGTCTTTTTTTGAAATATCGAAATTTGTTATTTATTGGCAAGAAGATTTTAGCATTATAATTTATATAGATGGTGTTGTATAAAGAATGATATCTCCTGTTAGACTACAATTTCACATCCCATATTTTAACCAAGACACATACAATCTAGTACAGCAAAACATTCAGTGAAATAAATGAATTTCTGAATAAAAAATGAAAACTTTGTTGATAATTTCAAATGGTAATGAAGTTCAATGTTATGGATTTCACAATCCCACTGACTAGCATACATTTATTCTATAATACCTAACAGTAAATTACATCCCTATGTAAACAAATCTGAGAGTTATATACAAATTGAAAAACATGATACAATGTAAGTTTATCATAACATATATAAAGTAATGCTTAACATAATTATGTAAAGTGTTAAGCACATATTTGTTCACAAAACAATACTTAGTTTGATAATGAGCATGAAAATATAATATATTGCAAATTATTTTCATAATAAAAGAAAAACTTTTACGTAATAACATGACAAATTAGAAATTAAGGTATATAATGGTATAGAAAAAAATGTTTTAATGAACTGAATGGATGGTGTCTGAAGTTTAATTTGTGCCAGATAAAAAAAATCTGAAGGACATATTTATGCATCTAGAAAAAAGACATGACAAAATATATGACAAAAAATGTGAAAAGACAAAATAAGACAATGCACTGTGATAGTTAAAGAGTTACAAAACTAGGCCTAATAATAACTAGATGTTACAAATCTCCATGTCTCACAATCTTATCCAAAACCACTTCGAACACAAGTGCTGCATTGGCTGTAAATAGACAAAATTAAGTTGCCATTGATAATAATTATGAAAACTTAAAAATATTATATAGTACTATTATATAGCATACATCACATGGTTTTTAAAACAGAGAACAGTCAATATCTAGTTTGAAACAATAAACCTATATCAAAACACATTTCAGAGAAAAGCCATATATATAAAGGAAAGAAATATATTATTGTAATGGTTTTACCTGGGATCTTTGGTAGAGCACCTCTAGCACCATAGCCCATATCTGCTGGTACAACAAGCTTTCTTTTCTCACCTTCACACATTCTATACAACAAATACCATTATAAGCTTAGGTTTGGTATAATCATGCTTGATTTATCCACTTAATCTATACAGGAACATGTAACTAAATTAGGATTTAAAGATTAAAACATGCATGATATTAAAAATTACTTTTGATTTGGCCAAACTGAAGACTTGAATTGTCCAAATAAGTCCAAGAAAATAGTTATTCATATATCTGACTTAGTACAACAAACAAGGATTTTGGAAGTAATCCAGCAACCTCATGTATTCACTATACATGTATACATAATACAATGTATATTTGTTGCAAATGCCCACACAGAAATGTGGCAGGCATTGTTGGTGGTATGTGGGAGTATCATAAGAATATTTTTAAAATTTCAAACAACACCATTGCCTGCATTATAAGCCATTTGGGGGTAATTCATCCTTAACAAGGACTATGCAAGTATAAACTATGTGCAGTTCTATTAAAAAACATGGGCATATTATACCTCATTCAAGAACAACAATCCAGGTTCCCAAAAAACACATCAAACCTGAATTTCTCTAGTGTATAGAAGTTTTTCATGATTTTTTTTTAGATTTTAATAACTTTCTTAATTTCATTATAACATTGCAATGATCAACAAAACTCACCCAGTTGTTTACTCAACCATTATAACATTGTAAAGATTTATAATACACTTCTGTAACAGTTTATAATACATAAATCGCAGAAATATAATCAACTGAATAAAACTAGAATAAAATATTTCTCTTTTAATTAGTATTTCTTAAATTGTAACAAATATAGTGTTAAGAGTTTACCCTAAAAGTCCTTGATCCCAACCCTTGATAACCTGACCAGTTCCAAGGGTGAATATAAAAGGTTGGTTCCTGCTATAACTGCTGTCAAATTCCTCTCCAGTCTCGTGCAAGGTACCCTTATGAGAAAAATTTAAACACTTAATATTTCTGTAATATTTCAAACTTTTACCAATAGAATAAATGGGCACTTTGACTTAAAACATTTATGTTTTCAGAACTGAAAATTTTTCTATTTATATTTTCAAATAAATTTTCAAATTCTAACATAAAATTTAAATTAAACATGTTCTTACTTTATATTGCATATGAAGTGTATCTCCCTTACGGGATTTCATAGGACAGCTTTCTGCTCGTTTTTGGATCCCTATCTGTAGTTTCTTTGGTTTCTTGTCATCATCATCATCACAATGTGAGGTCCAAATCACAGCTGCCAACACCAAACTAATGCAAATCATGGTATACTTCATTTTTTACCTAAAAACAGATAAACAAATACAATAGCATTTATCTTCAAATGAGAAAAAAAAGTGTATAATTTTTTTCAAAATCATCAATAATTATATTCAACTATCTTAAATTAACTTCATTGCTAAATATGACTAGGAATAGTAATATTCAGTATGCTTTTCTTTTATTTACAAGAAGATATCTCTCTATAGGGATTTTTTGTGTGTACAAAATTGACCATATCTGATAATCTAATGACTTAATTTAGCATCTTTTTGAATAAAAAAAATTTTAGTCAAATGGTTGTGCTGTTGGATATTCAATCATATTATCTAAATGGGAAAACTTAAGTATGGAATAAAATAAACTCATATATTTGAACCTATACCTATCTACAATAGAAAAACTGTCTAAGTATCAACATTGCATGTTAACTTTGGATGTGGTACTTTTTCTTTATCCCTCATGTACAGACCTAATTAAACCGAGTCAGCAATTTTCATGAAATTTTGATGTTTTTAATACTTCCAAGGGATCACTTTTTCCAGATATTTTTACATTGAACTATTGAATTATAGAATTGTCTTAAAGCATCATCTTGAAGATCTTCAGAAAAAAATGATAATGCAGTTCAATCAATCCAGCATGTCTCAAGAAAATTAGTTTACTTTATCTAACGCTTTCTTCACTTCAAATGCTTCATCTTGCTCTCTTTAACAAACTCAACAGAGATTCAATAGATTGCACAGATATTCATACTGTATCATCAATATTATAAAAATGTTGTTGCCACGCATATAATCTAACCGAATAATGGCTATCCGGATATTATTTAACATTACGATTATTTTTAATGGGAAATTCCTTTTAAACATATATATGCTTAAAATGAAGTTGATTAATAATCTACAAATAAATTTGTTCATATTTATGAAAGTACCCTTTAGAATGGCTGCAATTAAAACAACTCTGCAGGTTCTTGATCAAGTTTCGTTTCGGATGCGGATGCAGGGACACGTAGCGTGAAAATTACGCTGCTGTGAGAATCGCTTGAGATCTACCGACTGCAACAAAAGTAATTACCTTTTTTATTAATGACGTACACTTAAAATTAAAAGTAGAAAAAAATTGTAAAATCATAGGCTAGCATATCTTTAACAGTCCCCCAAGGATCCATCCTAGGTCTTTTTTTATATTTTCATAAATAGTAATAAATAATATCCTTTTTTTGTAAATTATCAATGCACATATATACTGTACATGTGTAACGTGGTAATTGCAGATGACAACAGTTTATCTTTTCATTCTAAATTTTTGAAGAACTGACTTGTACTCTAGAACAGGAAACTGGTTTAATTGTAGTAATACATGTACAATGCAAGCTAACTTAGATAAGTTCCTTTTCTACATCAATGACATCCCGGAGGATCTTTATGCAGTCGTCCAACTATTTGCAGATGATACGCTGACCTACCTTGCCATCACCAACAAGTCCGACTGTTCCACCCTACAAGCTGACCGCGACAAACTAGCTGTCTGGGAAATGAAATGGAAAATGTCATTCCTCCCAGACAAATGCCAAGTCCTCACCATCTCCAAGAAAAGAAGCCACATCTGCCTCAACTACACCCTTCATGGCCATACTCTAGAGCACGTCACATCAGCTAAGAACCTCGGATGCACTCTGAATAACAGCCTAGACTGGGGCCAACATATACATAACATCTGAAACAAAGCCAACCGTATCATCAGCTTCCTGCGAAGAGACCTTAATCAACATCGCCTCTACTTCCACCAAAGAAACGGCTTACATATCTCTAGTCCGTCCCACAGTTGAGTATGCAAGCAATGTCAGGGACCCCCACGAGAAGGGAGACATACACTATCTAAACATGGTCCAACGACGAGCTGCACGGTATGTTAAGAACAAGTATCAAAAATGGTCAACGTCCACAACATCCAGACTTGGAATAATCAACAAAAAAAAAAAAAAAACCCTTAAATAGAGCAAAAAAGCTAAAAAACAAGGTCGTCAGACAACTCCAACTATTTTCCAAACCCCCCCATCTACAAGAAATAACATAACCTATCCTACAATCCCTACTGCTGCACCCAAAATCTCACAAACCTTTCTTTCCCCCACCATCAAAAGAAATTAACCTCCCCCCGGAAAGTTTTTGTCAGCCGTACAGTTGAGTCATTCCCCTACCATCTTTCCAACTGTTTTTCTAAACACCCGCATCTTTTTGTTTTTAACCTGCTATATTCCTCACTATTAAGAAGAACAAGCAATTGAACGGTGGGTGATCACGTGACATCTGTTTACGATTTTAGTTGGGTCACTGCTAATTGTATTTGTCGCTTCCAATGGAACATGTAACCATGGAGCTAATATATACATGTGTATGTATAACTGTGATGTACTTTTCATTGTAGGAATGATAATGTACCAAATTAGGATAAATAATCAATTTACACAGAATTAATATTTTGCTTAAAATAAATTCCGAGTGGTGTCTATTGTTTACCTTCGTTTTCAACTAGGAGAAGGAACATTATATGCTTTCTTATTATATTAACATGATATATCGACCATACACGTTTTGATGAATATTTAGCAATAATATCAAGAACAAGAAATATAATTGTTATTTGTACCCATCAAAATTCTTTAAAGCTGGAATATACAGCTGATATTTGATATGCATTGTATATGTATTTCTATTTTATTCAATTATATTATAAATGTATTTGTGGTAATTTATACCATTATTCTTTATTATCGAAAATATTGATATCAGGGTAGTTGATTCTTTTGAGACTTTTGAAATGCTTCTTTAACCGACTCAGTGTGGGTAATCGCGTTTAAGGTAACGTAATAGTACGAAGATGACAATATGAAGTGAATTTTCTAATTGAGCTCGTGATTTTTGTGTGCTAGACTCCAGGTTTTGGTTTGGTGCCTTCTGGGTGCCCTTCTTTGGTGTGTCGGGGGCTGCGTCATGTGAACGTTGCCTTTGCCTTGTTGATCTTTATTCTTGTTTTTTAATTACAGCATCTGCTTTTAAATGATATAAAAATCAAAAGTGCAGTCAATGAATTTTATTAACATTTAAAAATACCTTACACAGTAACTTCATGGTGAACGGGCGGTTAAAAGTTCCGGAATACTGGTTTACCTGGGTCGTGTGTGAGTTGCCGCCTTTCCTTGTTGATCTTGTTTATCATATTTGCCATAAAAACTCGATCAAAACATGAAAAATCTGCTTTCAATATTAATAATGATATTTGTAATATTTATGACGACAATCAGCGATTTATATTACAGTATATCAAAGTCCGTGCGACAATGAAGTATGAAATTTTTAAAGAAGGGTTGAAGTAGAAAATTATAAAATATCTGCTCTTTTATTAAATTTATTGACCAAGCATATTGCATTACATAATGACCCACCCTCGCTTATGTATCGTTTTATTTTTCAATATTTGAATAATTTACATACCATTTCCAGGCAAATATTTTCCGATTCCAGTGGTGCATATTTTTTTCACTGTAGCTCTCGTACTTTTCTCCGATATACTTGCAGAAATTGCGACACACATTTGAATCAAAATATTGCGGAATAGAAAAATTGTTGCAGGCATAACGGGAATTCTTAAATAAGAATACTTTAATTTATTTTCCTTCAATGTACATGAAGAGCTGAACATACATATACAAATATATTAATAATCTGCAGTGTTGTTATATTTTCCTGGTCCTTTGGGTTCATTGATTCAAGCACTTTTAAGTGTTGAAAATTCAAAATTGAGTACCGCTCAAGCCGGTACCAAGGGCATTTAAAAGCAGATGCTGTAATTAAAAAACAAGAATAAAGATCAACAAAGCAAAGGCAACGTTCACATGACGCGGCCCCCCGACACACTCAAGTAGAGCACCCAAAAGGCACCAAACAAAAACATGAAGTGGACATAAGGGTGAAAGGTTAAATCATAGCATAGCTTACACAAACACAAAAATCACGAGCTCAATTAGAAAATTCACTTCATATTGTCATCCTCGTACTATTACGTTACCTTAAACGCGATTACCCACACTGAGTCGGTTAAGGAAACATTTTAAAAGTCTCAAAAGAGAATACTAGCGACATTATATACGTGATGAAACTTTCAAACCTCTTGAAATTGAGTGATAGTAAAAAGGCAGCTTATCAGTTGAATATACTCAAAGTAGATCACAACTTAAATCAAACAACTAGGTTAACAAGCCTGCCACACTTTTATGTTATCAAACTTTAGTTTTTGTCCAATGACATGACATTTTGCCCAGAAAACAGTATAATTAAGATAGGAAAAATGAACCTCTCAACTTTTTAAAATGTCTTATATATTCTAACTAAAAACATAACAAAATAAATTTATTTTTAATTATCTACATATCAATGAAAATGCTAAAGTTAATTATCATGGTTTTATCTTGTATTGTATTATTTTTTCTTAAATAAACGGGCCTTAAACGTGGTTCAAAAAAAAAAAAAAAAAAAAAAGATAGGAAAAATGCAGGAAAAGCTTTTAGATTTGTTAACAATAGAGTGAAATAAGAATCCCTAAAGAAAGCCCAACGCGGCAAAATTGAAAATGTTGCAGGCTCGCTTTGATTGAGTCTGTTCATGGACGGTACTGTCAAGTGCAAACTACCGTCCACGCCCCCTCTGCTTAAGCAGAATTCAACATGTAATATGAACTGGTAAAAGATAGAATTTTGAAACATCCGCAGATGTGTTCATATGGCGGTTATCATGGAACCTTCAATGTGACACGTTAGTGTCATTCCATGAAAAGCGGCAATGTTTTTTTTTCCATATTAGATTTGTTAAAAAAGGGAGAGTGATAGTTATAACAATTCATGACAATTGAATATTTTAAGATTTCATGATGTATCTCGGTTATCGAATATTCATGTTATGTCTCGGTTATCGTTTATCGAATGTTACTGTTAAGATAACATTTATGTTTTGTTTGTAGTTATACTCAGTAAGGTAAATATACAATGTAATTTAATTTTTAGAGGTATTTGAAAGACCTTGACAAGGGTGTGATATCTTTTTAAGTTTATGATCCAGACAGGATATTCTGCAGACAGGAAAACAAGTCGATCTGGAGGATGATATCAACAAAACTAAAACAAGTGTCAATACAACGTGGCGAACATTTTTTAGATATCCTATACATAATGACGTCATCAAAATTTATTATACGGATTGCATTGGTGTTTACCATTCGGTGACCTACTTACAAATTATAAGAGAGGAAATCTGGATTTCTTTCATAGAAGTGAAATTTAAAAGGTACTTATTCAGTTGAGTGAATGTATAAGTCGATTTTTTTATATTATTGTTTTAATACATTTTTATCTTCATTCTTTAGCATTTATAAAGGCTTTTGGTACTTGCTTGCTCTTAAAGAATTTTCACTGGTGGGTGGGGCAATCAAAAATTTTCATAATTTTTTATCTGTTTAACTTTACAGTGGCATAAATCGTCCCTGTCTAAGAGTCATCACGGAATCAACATCATTTCTGTTTATGTCACAAAGTCTTATCAGATTCTCGTTGTAAAAGAAAAAAACATCAAAGTAAATTTCATAATTTTGTATCTGCCAAATAATTAGAAATGGTTGGAGACCACCAAAACCGGACAACTATCAAACCTGGACGGCATTGAAAATGCTTGTTTAAGTTGTTTTTCTTGTTTATTGTTTTTATCAACTGAAATGCATGTTTCTTCTATTATTAAGTATTTAAATTGAAGTTAAATTTCTAAAACATAATGGGTTTAAGAACATTGACATTGAAAATGACTTTGTGCATTACCTAACCCTTTTATCATACCTATACTCAACATACTAGAGGTGCAATGATTCGTTTGGATGCATTGAAAACTGATTTTGTGGGCACCGATTCGATTCCATTGTCAACTACATAACTGTACAGTATAACAATTTCTCTGCGATTCACAACCAAAATTGGACCGAGTTGAAAACTTTCATTAAAATCTCAACATCTG